AAAGTATTATGCTCTGCTTGCAACACATGGAGATACTTATGTCATTATTAAAAGATAGGCACGCTGCTGCAATTAAAGGTGAGGGGGCTGTGTTTGCGTCACCTTGGTTTGCAAATTACCTACAAGGGAAGTATTCATCATTTGCTTAAGCAAAGCTGAAACACAGAGTGCAATGGGGGGAAAGAATTAAAGGTTTTATGATGCAACTTGTGAAAGAATGATTTGATTATGTTCATACCGTGTATTTGCCAATGTGTTGGGACAATAGGCATTAGGTGGGTCTGGTAATACAGTTGCGTATGTGGGTAGTTGAGATATATGACTCAGCACCATCACTATATTCCGAGAATGAAGTTGAAACATTCATGGCACCAATAGCTGAAATGTTGCCCCACATTATCCTGAAGTTGTGTAATCCTCAAGCATCACATGCACATGGGTTAAATCCAATGACGTGTAAGAGGATGTCTGGGATATATGAGAGCAGCCGTTCTGGAGACTGTGGACCTGTAGCGGTAAAGTTTCTCGAGTTACACGTGAATGGGAAATGTAATGTCATACAATGGCTTTTATAACATACAAGATAGTGGATGATGCAAGGAAGAAGTATGCCGTTGATATATATCATGAGATGGTTGTACCTCTATATCCTGTTATGAAAGGTGATGTTTGAGTGATAAAGTGACGTCAGATATTGTTTTATCTGTTCTAACTTATGTTTTTATGTATCAAAGTTTGTTTAGTTTGGTATATGAATTTTTATGATGTGATTCAACAGAAAACTTATGTATGATGATTAGTTTGTTTAGTTTTATTAAGATGGTTTGGATGAAATTCGTTGGTTAGATTTGCGTGGATGGTACATGCCATAAGTTTAATAGATTAAGTGTGAAAATTACCAAAAAGACTAATGTTGTTTTTTGTGTTTTTTTCAACGGTTCAATGTTTGATATTATTCGATTTAAATAAAAATATTTTAAAAGCAACAAAATTGGATATTTATGCGTGAATGGTATATTGGATACATAAGTAGAGAAATTTGAAAACAAAATTATGAGAAGTACATATTACAAAAATTAAGGCAGTGAACAAGTTATTTGAACATGGTTATCATGAAAGAACCTTCAAGCATGAGGACAACATTTATTTTCATGAGGCCAGTCTGGGTTTTGCTCAAACCCTTGTCGATTTTGTCAAAAAGTTCATCAGCAACTTGACGATCCAGCTTTCTGGCCATTGACAGATTTGTTTGACCGAATATGAAGTGAAGAGCAGCTAACTTTTGTTACATTCGTAATACCTTCAGTTC